TTTTTTTTTCTAAATGCTGCATAAAGATCGCAGAGAGATGAAACATGGGCTTATCTACATTTTAATCCAGTGCAACTTTATAAAAAGTTGCCGTACCATTCCATACTGAGTCTGTTGAAGGAATCAACGAGGTTCTGGACAAAGGTTGTGGAACTGGGCTCATTGGCAGGGAGGTTGAGATGTCTCTTCTAAAACAATAAAAACAAAGACAAAAATGGCAAAATCAAAACCTCTGTGGTGGGAGCAAATATCAGAAGATCTTATCCACAAATCAATCCGGGTGGGATTTGAACCCCGGCTTCTGAGATGTAGGTAAGAAAAGTAGCACTTTGTCAATCTGGTTCCCTTGGCTATTTTAAAGGGACTTTCAACTTTGAAAAGCCTTACCTCAAGTTGTTTGGTGAATTCAATGAAGAGCATGAAATTGTTGACCACTGCAACCTGATAAGACCAATTGTAACAGGAAGAAAGTTCACCAAAATGTTTTGCTCAAGGTCAACGGGGCAAGTGATTACCAAAACCACTGAGAGCATGAACTAAATGCTGCAAAGCTCCTCAGCAGGAAACACTGCCTCGCAAATGTGGGTGTTCTGCAAGTCTTAGCAGAAAAGCAGTTGAACACAGTAGGCACTGCATTGCATTTGCCTCTGCCCATTTCTGCTGAGCATTTCTTCTCTATGCTTAGCAGTTTTCTGTGTTGAACAATCCTCATTTTTGGCTTACCATGTACTGGAAGTAGAACCTTGGCTGGCTTCGGTCAGCAAGGTGATCCTTCTTGTAATTCTTAATAGCACCTGCAATAAGTCATAAAAATCATGACCATCCAAATCCTTCAAAACCCACCAACAGGTTTGGAAGATTTTGTAGGACTAAGGATGGTAGAATACAGCAAATCTTTCTTTACATGTGGCTTCATGTCCGTTGGAAATTGAAGTAAAGAGAATGTGGTGTTGGTTTCCAACAGGGTAGGTTTTGTAGATTTAGGAAGGTTCCAAGCAAAAATACCTAAAAAAATAAATAGGAAGGAAATGTGTGAGTTTTTCCATAATTTGCTCGATAAATGGTACAACCCTGGGCATGTGCACCCCTTAGCAAATGATAAAGCAGAGTTGGGTCAAAGGTCAGGGTTCAAGGATCACTTGTTTGGCTGGTAATACCAGCAATGTCATGTTATTTATTTTAAATACCAAATCCAATGGACAGGCAAAGAATTTGAATGATATGATGAATTGAAAGCCAAGACTCACATCTATAAATGTCAATGAAGAGCTGGAGTTCTTGGATGCAGAGTAGGACCACTTTGGTGGTCAAATACAGGCAAAGAATTTGAATGATATGACGTATTGAAAGCCAAAACTCACATCTGTAAATGTCAATGAAGAGCTGGAGTTCTTCGATGCAGAGTAGGACCACTTTGGTGGTCAAATACAGGCAAAGAATTTGAATGATATGACGTATTGAAAGCCAAGACTCACATCTGTAAATGTCAATGAAGAGCTGGAGTTCTTCGATGCAGAGTAGGACCACTTTGGTGGTCAAATCTGTGCTGATTTGGTTGGAAACTTGAAGCTAATGATGGCAGGGGACGGAGGGGGAAATAGGAAAGATATAAACATCAAACAAACGTAGGGATGAATGCAGGTTCTAAAAAGTGTGGAAACTGGAAATTTGGTCAAATGTACATACGTGAATACTAACAAGAACATGACATTTTTTTTTAAAAGCCGTAAAATCTTGAAATTCTGGAGGAGTTAAATCCCTTGGAAGAGGATGCAAGAACACAGCAAGTTAGTTTAGCAGATAGTGGAAACCACTCGATGGTTTTGAGGAAGATCAAATTCTCATTGGACTCACATTTTGTTCTATCATCTGGAAAATAATGACAGGTAACTGGGTACGGAAGTAGCCTTCGCCATCTGCATCTGGCTCTGTGTCACTCTGCCAATCCTAGCAAAATGAAGACAGGAAATTTCTAATTGCAGAAAGGGAGAGCGGACTGGGGTGATTTGAATCTGACAGAACTCTGGAGTCAGTAATACACGAACTGACATCAAATTGCACTGCAAGTTATTGTTCTGTGCTTTTTAACAAGTAATATGGGCATATGTAACGTGTGGGCTGTGTGGCAAGCACATCTTGACAACATAAGTGTGACAAACTTCTATTGTGGGGTTTAAAATATAGGACAAACTGACCTTGACATCCGACTGCAAGGCATTGCCCATCCACCTCTGGATGTTAGTGTGAAGGGTTTTCAGATATCTGATGAAAAAAAGGGGATCAGAAACACCAACCACTGACTTCAAGGGTTGAAACAAACTTTTACTGCTTAAAAGTTAACCTCAAAAGTAGCGAGGATCGATAATAAACAACAGATACTAAGAAATACATAAGCTCCAAAATGCAGATCACAGAAGTGTACAAATGGTTAGACAAATACTGCTGATTCTTCCACTTACTGTTGCTGTAGGTCCTCAACTATATTTGGTGGAAGTAGAGGAGGTAACTTCTTGATGTCAATACCAAGCTCAGCATGGCTCATCATCATTGGTCCCCTGAGGTCACGTACGCAAATCAGCAACCAATCAGGAACATGGATAGATGTTTGGGAACATCTTGTATTGGACTGTTATCATTGGTCAGTTTAGATCACAAGGGCAGGAAGTGACCAATCAGAAACTGGGATTGGTATCATTACGGCTTTAAGGTATCATATTTGTGTTAGAAGGTAAAGTTTTAACAATTCTGAGGAACTCTGAGTGGTTTGAAACTAATCTTTCACCAACCACGGGTAAAAATATAAAAAATGGATCATCCTGGAATTTTAGAAAATTGCTGATCAAATCTCAATCACTATTTACTGTGCTAACCTGTATTCATTTAGCCAAGTAAGCAGCGAGATGATTTCATTTGGTTCCAATTCATCAGATATCATCTCTTGCAACTGCGATAAATGAAAAAAAATAAAATAAGAAATTCACTGTAAACTCAATATTTCCTGTTGCGCAGTTGACAAAAAGAGATCAATATCAAACAAAATACCTAAATTTCAAGCCAATCTGAATCTTATTGGGCAAAATGTTTAATCATTATTAACAATGATGACGTTATTTGTGTGAGAAAGTGATGTCATCTAAACAAGTCCAACTTACATGAACTGCCAGGCACTCCTGAAACATGTTGATAAAATGGTCAAAGATGTTGTAATGTGGCGGAAAGCATGGCATTAGCAAGAACTGTGGACAGAGCAAAGAGACGAGGGTGAAATTTAATTCCATTGTTTCTCAGTGAACAAGGTAGACATAAAGTTCTCTCCACGACAATATCACTGGTCCAGTAACAGTTAGCTTCGACTGGAAACATGGAAAACTCACGCACGCTGGAAAACAAGAGAAGACTACAACGTTTGTTTTGGAAAGTGGATTTGGTAACACTGGAGAAAAATGTCTTTTAATGCAGACCAATACTTTCATGGATGTGGTCCAAGAAATTTGTTCTTCACCTTGACAACCTTGAGGTCACCGACCATGTTCTGACGTATGAGTTCAAGATGGCGGACGAGCCACATTTTGTCAATGGTACGATCCTCCAATTGAGTGCCCTCAATCCTGAGAGACAAAATCAAAAAGAAAAACCCCAACTGAATTAACCACTTCGTGCTTGGGAGCCCAGTACCGGAGTCGTTGGCTTTATATGCAAAGCCAGGGTGCCCGAAATCAGACAAAGGAGCTTGGCTCCAGAGGTAGTCCATCATTGTTTTGAATGATTATACCACTGTTTGTGGCATTCAGTGCGAGCGGATTACCACCAGCGACAAAAGCACTACAGGGATGAGTGATACAATACCCCTGTACGCTAATCTGGTCCACATTTGAAAAGCTGCCAGCAGCAAAGTGGGCCAGTTTTGGGAACAAAAGAAAATTATGCAACACCGCACATTTTGGGCTCTTTTTACAAGGCGGCAGGCCTGGCTGAAATACTCAGGCATCACTGGATGTTGTCTGTCAGAGTAGAGTAGCCACCAGGCAGTCATTTGTGTGGGTATATACGTCCAGTCAATGAAGTTATTAATTTTTGAAGCATTTTGAAAATGGAAAATCTTGAAAATCCCCTGGGAATACGTCACGTAACTTCAAAGTAAACCTGGCAGCATATGGTTAAATATACATTTGGCTGTCATTCACGTTGTGTGATGACTGAATGCAGTAAACCTTTGCAAATGATGTTTAAATGATGCAAATGATATTCAACCACTTACCGTACAAGAACTAGCTGTTTGAGTTCATCAAAGCATTTCTTCTTCCAGCTCTTGGGACGATCAGGTGCCTTGAAACCAGCCATCTTCTCTCGGTCTAGCATCTTCTTGTCAATTCTGATTTTGATCAGACAAAGATTTTTGGGCATGAGTTTGATCCCAAGATGGGTAAGGCGTGGAGCTTTGCATGGTGGTGGCTGAACTGTATGAGACTTGTGGATGAACCTTGTAAGGAACTCTCTCTTTTGGAAGAAGTGTGGTTCTAGAGAAGTGAGTACTCCCCCTTCTAATCAGAACCACTTTTCTTCCAAAAGAGAGAGTTTCTTACATGGTGCATCCGTAAGTCTCATATAGTCTTCTCAAGATCTTTCGTAAGAGACTTCCTACTGTGTATACAAATATGACCTGATCTTACAAAATGAGCTTTAAGGTTACTTTTTTTTCATTAAATTTGTTTGGTGTGTATGAGAGGGTGAAAAATAAGCTCTTTGGTTTGACGCATCACTCAGTTTGGCATCTAGGTGAAAAATGGGCATTATGTGGGTGAAAACTGCTCAGGGGTTCCTACTGATGCACTACGTCAGATAAGTTTGAAGGGCGTTAACTCAGTAGTGCCTCTGGTAACTTAAAACTCATTTTTGTCAAGTTAGATCCCAAATTACATGTATGTTAATTAGTGCTTGTAACATTGCTGAAACCTCCAAAACGTCAGTTTGTGCTAACAAGGGAGTGCTGATTTTATGCAGAGGTCATAAATACGTGTCACATGATAGCATGGTGAGCTGGCAGACATTCTAAGGGCAGCAATCCTCTGAGAAGCACTAAGTACTTCCCTACTATCGTCTCATGCACCCTCTCATTCAATCCATAAGCAGACCAGCTGTTACATCCTCCAGTGAAGTCCAAGTGGACCGTATTGCCATGTCCAACTGACAAGAGTAAAGTCTCCTTAGGATGTATCTCAAGGGTATTAAAGGCTCACCTCTCTTCTCTTTCGATGATGCGCAGCGCTGTGGTGACCATGGATGGGTTTTCCCTTGCAGCGTTCAGGACCCGGTGCATGACCAGCTTCAACTGCCTGAAAAGCATCTCCTGCAGGACAGTCAGATTAGGTAATGGAAGAATTCAAAAACTTGGAACACAGAAGACACTCCAGTTCACTTTAGACACTCAGCTTAAGACAAGAGACTGTCTCAAAATTAAGAGCTCTCTTTTTCTGTCAGAACGTAGCATATTTCTGATGGGAAAATGTGGGATTCCAAGAGATTTGCCAATCTGAATGAACTGTTCCTGAGTTTCCAAATGGGAAAAATGGAGCATCAATATCTATCAAATCAGCAGAAATAAAGCTCATACTAACCGAGAGCCTTCCAACTTCTGAGAAGTATTGCTTCAGGAGCTGTGGATGAAACAACCAGGACGCAATCCGCATTATTACTGGATATTAGAAGTTACATGGTTTAGAGGCTTCGTCAGCTACCAAATTTCTCATAAAATGGATTTGGACTTTTGAAGGATCTGGAAAGGTGAATGTGTCTCTTTCATGATGTTTTTGGACTGGAGAAATTTCCTGATTGACTACAAACAAAATGCATCACATTGAATGGATTGGCCTTTTCTGGATAATACTTGCTATCCTTCTTCCTTTCTGTTGTTTTGTTTTTCGTTTCACTTACATGATCATCCGTTGGATTTTCAGAGGGATGTTTATGCAGCTCATACAAGAGGTCATCCCGAGAGCTCTCCAGTTCCATCAAGCTGTGAGGATGCCCATGTAGAATAAAAGATAACTATTCAATGACCTTTCTTGTTGACTTCTCAGAAGCCAGATAAAACAAAAATAGTAGAGTTCATTTTGCATCCTGGAATCAAGGAATGGGAGTTTATGATGCCAAAGAGAAAATAGCTTAAGCTCTATCTGTACCTGGTACCTCCCTTCCATGATGTCTTCCCCTCCCCCTGCTTACCCCTTGTGAGCTTCCAGTAGCTTCTCATCCTGGATGAACTTCTCTGTCTTGATGATGTTCTCCGGCACGGTGAAGATGTGTTTCAGATTCTCCACGGCAGCAGCCAGCTGAGGAAGAAAGATGGAAGTATAACAGAAATGAGTCACAGGTCCCACTTCTTAAAAGAACTGATCCTAGATCCTTCCAAAGCCACCAGGAGGTTTAGAGGGTTTGCGGTATGAAGGAAGGTAGAGCCCAGTCACTGTTACATCAGATGGGACTTGATGCCTCTTGGAAACTTACGCATAAGGAATGAAGATATCAAAGGACTGCGGCCTCTGTCAACCACCAACTATAAGATCAGTTTTAATCCCTACTTTTTCAGCCAAATCTACAAATGCTGACAGCATTTGTCTCAGCGAGGCCACAAAGCTACTAGGAGGCTAGAGTCATCTGACTAAACCTTTGACCTTTGACATACTAACCTGGCTATGTTGCTGAGCAACCTCTTTGACTTCTCCCAGCTTGGATGACAGCTCAGCACACTCCCGGTACTTGCCATCAACTTCCTGAATCCTGAAATATAGAGCAAAGTTTTCTTTTCTTAATTCATGATTTCAAAATTGGGCGGAGAGAATTTACTACTAAAGAGGACAAAACCCCCAGGCTTTTAAATCGGTCTTTAATTTTTGTTTAAGCTCCTTACTCACTGAGCATTTTCTTGATTTTAAGCAACTAATATTAACGTAAAGGGGCTTGAAATGAGACTAAAAAAACCAAGCTAATTTATGATTTATGAATGTGAAATTAACATACATGATAAAATATAGCAAGTTTTCAATACAATCTAACGGAAGAAAAAAGGGGCTCAGCTATGAGGGAAACATTTGAACAACCTCCTTTAAAATTATTTTTGTTCAAACTAGCTTGATCATTCTTATATTTGACTTTGATGAGACTTTCATGCATTTGGAAACCAATGTGCTGAAACAGCACAAGACAAAGTAGCACCCTCGATGGTATCATACAGCCAAGGTTCACTTACCAACCTCTGACCTCTCGTATGCCAGAGAGGGCACTCTGCAGCTGGCTCAGTCCCGTACGGACACCGTCCAGCTGTGACTGCATGGCTGTCTTCAATCTGGCTTCCACCGATGCCTGTGGGAAAATACAGTCAACAATTTGAACCCAAAACGTGACTGACCAAAAGCAACAACATTTTGAAATACTGCAGGGGAATTTTTATGAAATTATTCACAGCTCTCAACACCACCACTTCCCAATGCCATCAACTTGATGTGGATACAATGTGTTCGTAATTTTACAACACCTTACGGAATAGGACTCTTTCAAAAGATTCTCTCAAAGTTCTATTGAACTTGATGCCACAATAACCAATGTTTAACTTTTATTATGTGATTTAATATAATAGACAAAACAGATATGATCACTTGTCTAGGCCTAGGTTCCTACCTTCTTTCTTGACTCCCTTCTCCGAATTTGCTCAACTCTTTCCAGCTGATCTGGCCTCTGTTAAAAAGAAAACAATAACTCACAAAGTAATAACAAAATGGGCAAGTAATGTCTTCTGTCATGTCTGTGTATGGAAGTTGAAATCAACCTGGGCTAATGTTCAAATCAGGAAAGACTGCCACTTGACACCTGTGCACAAACCCTTTAAGACTGGTCTGAAAAATTGGAAGTGTTTTTGCAGTAAACAATTCGGTATTTTCCCTCCTAAATCGCACTTTTCTGGACATACTTTTGCTTTCTGACAACTAATAGGTCACTATAGGGAATTAATTATATGGAACTCTTCTCTAAACTTTTTCCATTTATATCAGTAAAAACGGTAGGCCCTATTTACCAATCTTTGCTTTACCGGAAAGAGTTCTATATACGGACACTTGATGCACAATGATTTGGAAATTTTTTAGCTAAATTTCATTTTATTGCCTAGAACGTTATAACTTTTTGATAACTGTTACTAGTGTTAGGCCTAAAAGTAGTAAAACATTTTACGCACTGGTTGTTGTTACGGCAGCCATAATGCATCTCCCATTTTCTATCGTTACGGCACTGCAACTGTGCAAGCGCACCAACCTAAGTGCAGATTTCGGACTTTATTTCCCTTAAAAAAAAAATCCTCCAAAGCCTCCGATGAGAAAAGAAAAAAAGATTCCTGCTTAGGCCTATACAATTAGAAACCAACATAGAAAACCAATTAAAGTATAAAATATGAAATTTAGGCAAAAAAAAAATTGTCGAAGTGCAGATTCAAACTCACACACCATTGTTTCCAAAGCTTCCACCTTGACCAGTTGGCCAAATGCATTCAACGAGTCAGGTGATTTTAAAATATATAAACCGTTGTGATGATCAGCTACATCATCGCACTTGCGCAGTTCAGTACCGTAACGATAGAAAATGAGAAAAGCGTTACGACTACTGTAACGATAGCCACTTTGAACATGGCATGATCACTGATGGTTTAAGGGAAAATTAGTGTTGCCCGTATATCATGAACTCATTTCGCTTCACCTTTTGATATATTCTGACCATATGAATGAATACTGTCATTCAATTTAATAATACTCTAGGAGAATGTTAGAAAATCATAACTGCGCTGTGAGAATACGGTGAACCTGGTAAAGTGACGGAAGTCATGGAAGTGTGACGATCATGAAGAAAACAAAATTTCCTCTGCCCACCTTCATCATGTTTTCAATCCGTTTGCATGCCGCCTCAATGGCGTCAATTTCTGCTTTGCTGAAATCCTCTTCATTCATGGTGATATAAAGGTCCCCTTAACGTAGAATAAGGCATGAATCAAACTTATTTGATGGAGGTTTGATACAAAGTTCTGAGAGTCAAATTCTACAGTCTAGTCTCAAATGGAAGTCGCCATCTTAAAATAACTACATCAGCGCGATGAGGGCGCACTCACAACGTATGAAGGTGGCGGATTTGCGGGGGCCAAAGACATCCCGTTCATGTGTCTTAGACACTCAAATGAATTAGGTATTTTCAGCCAGATTACTGAATCATTCAATTATTGAGCGAATTGCAACAAACAGAAAAGGTTTGGGATTGTCATGGGATTCAGATTAGAAAATAAACACCAATGAACAGGTTGTCATAAACTATTTAAGTTAGACCTTTAAATATTTCAAAATACTCGAAGCGCATTATTTTCGATGAAAAGAAACTATCCTGAGTGCTTACAACTGGTATGGTCTTGTAGGTGACCGTGCCTGCCACTTACTACTATTACGAAAGGGAGGATCTACGACCATATTTTATGATATTTCTGGGGAGTGGGGGCCAAAACTTAAGGTTTTTGTAAGTTTTGAGGGGATCTAAAGCTAAATTCATGCCTTCACGCCTTCGTATGTAGGCCACATACCCAGGGAGTGTGCAACCTTCCTTAGTTTCTAAACCTAAATTTTGTGATTAATTTTCAGGCGTGTTATACCCCGGCCCGATGAGCCTCATTATCACATTAAATCAGTAATCTTACTTTTTGTGGACTGCTTGGAGAAAGTAAAAACACAACGAAAATCTATTCTACTTTTTCTACAATCTGTTCAAAGCTCGATGAACGGCCTTGAATTTAACTTGTACCAAGATTTTTTTTTCTGGTTGCCCGATACGGTAGGCGTCCCCTGAAAGGCAGAAAAATAATAATCGATTGTTTGCATGTAAACTTCAAACGCATTGGAGCGTTCAGGGTAGTGCATTCAAGGCCGAAAATGAAAGGACACTCACAAAAAGACTGCATACCACTAGTTGTGGCACTGGAAAAAAACGTTGGGCCGCAAGTTGTTTTGGGGAGTTGGTGGACGATTTAATGCAGGCGGGACAGTGTAGGCCTACCAATGCCTACTGGAACCAGACACAACTTTCTGGTTCCTGATTTTTAGAGAAAGGTCCGAGGAATTTGAGAACCGACAGGGGACAGTCATGTCACTCAGTGTCATCATGGAGGTAAGATCAAACAATCACAAAGAAATCTTCGACAGTTAGAAAACAGCGACAAATTTGCTGAACTTTTACCCTTGACTTAACTATTGATTTCTGTATGTCGCTACATGGCACATTTCAGTCAACTTCTTTAGGTATACATGCGTGTCATTAGTCATGCGTGTGTTTCTGAACTTCATAAGGCTGTGACAGATATTTTTGTATATGAAGATGACCGTGACATTAAGTTGCTGCATTATGGGCCTACGCCTTAAAGCAGTTCAGAGAGGTTCAGCCCATAGTGCACTGCCATTTCGTTTTCATACCACTGTTGACGTCACTAGGCAATAAAAGTGTTCCATGAGTCATGAGGCTTAGTAGCGGCCACTGAAGTTCTTCAACTGAAGCGCTGACGCCGTAGTGTTTTCATGGTTATGGAGCTGAGGCGCATGACATTATTTAGTGGGGGAATGTCCGTATTTTGGACTGGATTTTCTCACTGTAGAATGGTTGCGTATTTATATCAATTTAGTTTAGTTCATTTATCAAAATACCAAAAGGTTTTCTACGTTACAATCATCGTTAAACACACTAACTAAAGCTGTCCAATATCTTGCAATACTTCTTTTTATTCGCTTGTTTGCTTTTTGGAATTTATTTATTATAATGCCTGCTAATACCTCTTCGTATAAGCATATGAGTAGGTTTGAAACCTGTGTTACATTCACTGTGGTCCCCGTCAAACGTGGCTTTGTCAGTAAACAAACTGGGAATCCCACTTTTAGTCTAAGACACCGGCTAGGTTTTAAGTTGAAATCCGGATGTTGACTAGTCTTGTCCAAGGCGTCTGTGGCTTTTTGTCCATGGGACTACGCAAGCGAAGCCGCCCGGCAAACAGGCTGCTGTGTGCTCTCACGGCATACCAACCCTCGTAAACGGCCGTACTGCTCCGTCCGTGCGTGTATGTACAATGCCCCTTACATCTGACCTGGACTTGTCTGGTCGACATGCAGTGAGCAAAAAAAAAAACCAAAAAAAACATTAGCACACAACATACCGCGTGCACACAGAGATTCACCCACACAGAGCAGATCAGCGGGTTACAAACGGTAACACAAGCAAAGTTCAGGTTTTTTTTCATCGTCGGTCGACTTTGTTAACAATAAGATAAAACCAAACGCCTTGAATAAAGCTGGCTGTTGACAATATATTATAAACAAATATTCTTGGGTGGATAGGAAGGTTACACTCCAATGGGCCCCCCATGTATGGTCGAAACTCGAACCGCACTCCATACTGAATACCTTACAAAGTCAAAATTTTGCAAAACAAGAAAATAGATGGAGAGAACGGAGAGATTAAAAAGAAAATAACCCTGACACTTTTGATGGGAAAAGTTCTAACCTTGGCAAGTGAAAACAAATGCAGAGGAAATGTATTTGACAGTGTAGAAAGTCCGCGTCTTTTGTCCATTATTTATGGTTTTCATTTATCTTTTTTTTTGGGCAAGCCTCAGTCACGATGTGAGTAGCATTATTGTTTCAGGGCCGAATGCGAAGCTACTTGAAACAAAAGGGCTGTATGACAAGAGGAGTTCTTGCATGTAGCCGGTCAAGATGTCAAGGTCACATAATGCAGTCTGTGATTTATCCTGCGCGCCAAGTGAAAAGTGGCAAATAGTCTTACCACTCAATATGAAAGTTTCGGGTCAGTGGAGGAATACACCAGTGGCGTAGCCAGGATTTTACTAGGGGGGGGCAAAGGCGGCACCAGCGTCTTACTCTGGGGGCACCAGCTTTCTGTGGTGTGTTTTTGTTAACCTTGTTCAATATTTTTTTTCAGTGAGGGGGCAAGGGGCACCGGGAATTTGTGGGGGGCAGGTGCCCCCAGGCCTGCTGTGGCTACGCCACTGGAATACATTGCAAAAAAACAAAACAAAAAAAAAACACCAAAAAAAAAAAGAACTTATTAAGACGAACTCTGACTCTCGCATAAGCATGCTTTATTGTGTTATATTTAAACGCCAAAATCTGGGCCCGTGGGCCGGATTGCGGGCAGTTTGTTTTTAACTGGGAGAAAAGTGAAATTAGCAATTCTCTCTTCTGAATTCTGAGGCAATTGAGAATAAACTCGGGGTCTATGGGTCAATTTGTGCAGCCGGCTATTCATAATCTGGCACTATTCTGCCGGTTGGATATGCAAAGATGATTTTGATTCCAGAGACATTACTGTGTAAGATGTAAATCTCAGAAAAAAAACAACAGAAATGTTTGGTTTCTTTAAAAAAATGTGGTGCAGCTACGTTACGTCAAATCATTTTCAATTACAACTTATAAGGCGTCATTGCACAGGTGAGTTGGCATTTTTCTTAAGAGGAAACACACTGACTAAGCATGTTTTCCACATAAATTACATTTTGCTGTAACACGTCAGTGTATTTGAATGCGTTTGATTTGTGCCTATTCAACCATTGTTCGCCATTTCGATGGTTCATTGCTTTCTTCTCGAGTATTCTGTCACTGAACATTTATTCGAGGAGGACGTACAAAATGAAAAGTGCGCTATTGAAAAATATAAACAAAATGAAGTTGGTTTTATGAGGGAAAGGTCCCTGTTAGATTATGCACCGTGAAAACAAACAAACAAACAACCCAACAAACAAACAAACAAACAAACAACCCAACACCCCAACAAACAAACACCCCAACAGGACGGCTCCTGTGATTTGTTGTGTTTTAAATGCAGTTCATTCCCCAATGCACTTGTAATGCTGTTTTCTGAAACCCCAAAGTGTTGTTGGTCTCGCTAATTTACTGTATCCTGCATGTAAGGATAATCTACGTAAATAATGAACAAAATTTGTGAAAAAATCCATAGGAAAGAATTTTGGTCCTAACGGAGTAATAGAGTAAGAAATAATGTGAGTGGTTTGATGAATATATTCGTTTCTAATTACCAGGAGCCCTTAGGCTTTCAGGAAGATGATTTGGAGTTTGTTGGGCGTGTGTCCCACACCCCCTCACAACCTCACAAGTACGGTGGAAGGAAACGGGATTCTGGCCGTTATGGATCTCCTACGGGACGGTACATCAGGGCAGCCGCTGGTCGGAGTCTTGGTGGTCTGCGGCCAAGCCAGTCTTACTCACCAAACAGCCCTCGCTCCAGCCGGATGAGCGCTCACCACCAGCCTAGAGTCACGCCCATTCGATTCATCCGAAATCCGCGCCATCCCAAGAGCCTGTACGACACCGAGATCAGCATGAGAAACTTCATGCGGAGGGGACCGCCCAAGCCGACTCCTGAGCTGTCGTTCCCCGATCCGTCCAAGCACCGGGCTTTCCGGAACCCCATGGCTCCCCGCTTCCATCATGAGTTCGATTTCACTGAGGAGGACTACGACATAAAACGGAATCCGCTAGCAGGAGTGCACCTGGATGTGCTCTTGGCCGGAACCTCTGAGTTCCCAGGAACTCATAACCGTGGCTATGACGACACGGGCGACCGTGACATCGACAGCAACGACCAAGACAGCAGTGACAGCGACGAATCGGAGTCCTCTAACATGGGAGAAGACTTAGAAGCCGGCGATGATGTGAGCGTGAACGACTCTGCGTCCCGGATAGTAGAAGAGACCCAAAGGAGAGACGGGGCCATCTACTCGTCTGTGAACAAGAACTGGGCATCCAAATCATCGGGATCGCAACAGATGAGAGCAGAACCACCGCCGTTTGCCCCCCAGCCTCCACCGGTGCTGCCAAAGCCAGCAGCCAAGCCCTTGGTGATACCGCGCGCTGTGGCGAATCAGGATGAATACAGACAACAGGAACCCACCTGGGAAGAAGAGAAGGAGATACCGCCTCCCGTTCCAGAGCCTCTGGATACCCTTGCTGAGGAAGATGAGGACCAACAGGAGGTTGAGGAGGTCGAGGTTGAACCGGTCCCAGAGTCGGCACCCCAGGAACTCCGTGACATGAGCACGCAGACTAACTTGAACGTACAAGCCGTCGGTGGGGAGCAGGATGAGCCAGAGGAGGGGGAGGAGGCAGAAGAACGCTTCATCCAAATACAAGAAGGTCGAGAAGACGTCAGCATCATGACCCACGAAAACTGGGAGGCTGTGGCACCATGGTCACAGCGCTCGTCAGAACCAGTGAATCGCAGCACTAGCCTGGCTGTCAACTATCGACGAGTGGTGGCCGAGCTGAGCGGAGTAGATCGACAGAGAGGAGAACCTCCTCAAGAACAACGACCCAGGCACCAGGAAGGACGACGTGACCCTTCCCACATCCGCGAGGAACCCCCTCCCTGGTCACCTCCCATAGTACCTCAAATGGAGCAAATCTTGCGGCCCATACCGGGAGATATGAGGAATTACCCACCACCGTCTAGGGAGTGGGACGCCCCAAGGCGCCGGTATCCAGACAGTGGCATACCCATGGCTGCTTTCTGCAATCGATGCTGCTTTGTCACGCTCTTGCTTTTAGCACTCGGAGTCATTATAGGCCTTGCAGTGGTCACTTCTGTTTACGTCACCTGTGAGTAGACTGTCGTCTTAGTTCTCACTAGATTTCTCTCTTAATTTGACCAAACAAAGAGACGGAAATATAGATGACCTCATTTCATTGAAAAAGACTCATTCGTACTGTGTAGTATTACGTGTAGCAACCTATCTTGATAAAAAAAATCTTTCAAAATAAAAATAGAGATCCAATTAACTGACGAAAAGATGGAGACACCGGGATTCGAACCCGGGGCTTCTCGCATGCGAAGCGAGCGCTCTACCACTGAGCTATATCCCCGGTTAGTCGTGTTAAAATACGAAACAATATCTTTTTTGACAGATGCTTTACTTAGTGAAATTGCTGGATCAGACCTAATCGATTGGGTGATTGGTCAACTGGTAGCCTGTTTGGCAGTCAATCTCTTCGATCTATTAATCGATATATGAAAGATCAAGAAATCAGTACTTTTTCCTCCACTTAAATTGCAGCTGGTAACTGTGACGGTGCTCCGTGTGGATTGATACAAGAACAAGGATATCTTGGGGGTAAGCAAACCAAGTAGGCCTACAGTAATAACACCAAACCATGTAAATCTGCACCAAACATGAAACATGAATTCTCTACCACAATACAAAAAAGATACTTCTTCCCACTTTTTTTTTCTGAGCCTAAAACCTCACCTTGTACTATGTAATACTTGCAGAATGTTTTGAACAGGTTAAACATCATGTTTTATTTTATTGTTAATTTTTGTTTTCGGTTTAGGGTTATTCGAAAGCTACCTTCTGGTTGTTTGATAAAAGATTTTAATTAGTATCTACTGAAAAACTGGATACTCTCCTCATGAAAGCACTTCAGCCTTATTCCCCAATACCACGAAGTAAAATGAAAATTAAACGGCACACGTATGAAAACTGCCTTGTTAAAAAAATAATCAACACTGATCGTTCAACACGCGCTGTTTTTAGATACAGCATACAATAATGGTTTGGCGCGCAAATTTAGAAGTGTATACAATTTTGGGGTAGACACTTAACCCCTGTCTTTGTGAAGGGGTAGATTTGTTTTATCAATACACAAATTGATAATTTCCTCATCTTCAAATTGCAGGCCTCGTGGCGTTGGGAGCACTGGCCATTCTCGTAGTCTTTGCGTTGTTCACGTGGTGTTGTTACAACGTCTCTCGGAGACAACGCGACCAACATAAGTACAGACCACGTGAGAGACAAATGTATCTTCCATGAGAAACCACTGAACAGACTAAGAACAATTACCAGTTATTTTAAATTAATGGTTATATCTATATTAAAGGCTACAGGACAAATGCCAATGCAGTTTTTCATCAGCTTGATTTCGTTCCTAATTATATTATAGCAAAAAATGTAGCTCATCAGTACGACGATGCTTTTTCAATTATCTTCAAAACGGAAGCAAAATGTTGAAATTTCCGTTTACCTTCACGTTCAGTGACTTCAGTTGAGGAAAAACTGTGGAAATCTGACGATGACAAAACCTAAAGACGTTGTGCCAAACAAATGTAAAACCCAGCTCAGCTAAAACGTTGCTCATCTTTAGTTTGCGTCCGAGGTTATTCATTTTCCAAAACGCTGAAACGTTCATTTGGCTAGCATGTTTTTGAATTTATTGAATTACGAACATAGCAGGAAACTTTGCAGGGTAGGAGGACGAAAAATATTATAAAACTCTAAAGTTCCATTTCCCCCTACAATTAATTATCTAGGGTCGGATGAGGAAAAAATCCCTTTAGGCCAAACAAAAAGTCTCCGGTTTCCGGTCGGCGCGCGCGTCGGCCGTAGACCTGCGCCTCGGCAAAATAATGTATTTGGTGTAAAACGATGTCTGAAAGCGGTCAAACTTACTTAATCGACTGGAATCTTGCTGCTGCGTAATTGTAACCTGTTTTTGATGGGGTATGGTTAAGTAATACACTACAGTAAAGGAGTCAATGTAGGTTCCAATACATAGTCGGGCACTCTTTGTCAGATGATGTCATTTCTGTATTATACATTTACATCTGGGAACCAGACAAACGAAGTGGTCTTATGTCCTGTGTACCTGTACAAGGTTAAAATGCTTATAAGCAGTTAAGAAAGTGTGGGGCCCAGTTTATTTTAGCGTTGGTAGCGGCCAGCTATACCCAGCAAGAAATGAGACCGAGGGGTACCCCCCCCCACATGTCCAATCCCTATACACATTCCAGACTATTGTTACCTAACACATCCCCCCAAGACTTCTGAAAGGAATTCCCCAGATTCCTGCGAGACAATGACCAACACAAAGCAGGGGGGGGTTCTCTCCGTCTCATACCTTGCTGCATATGCTTTTGAATCCAGCTCCTGACCACAAACCGGAGACTTATTTATTTATTTATTTTTTTGGGGGGGGGCTTAGTCCTGTTTTTTAAACCACTAAAAATCACCGTCGGGAAAAATAATGTTAGTGTTTAAATTAAATTTGTGGTCTAAAATTCCATTATTCAGTGTGGGCGGGTTCATAATCCAATAAAAAAAGTGTTGGACTTTCTGCAAAAGTAAAATAAGTTGATAGCGATAGTGTATATTGAACTCAATGTAATAAAAACCTTATTGAACTCAATGTAATAAAAACCTTTTAATAAAATTAAAATATTTGTATACATGTAACTTGTAAATCGTGTTATGTTGGAAAGCAATTTATACATTAAATTTTTAATGTGGAACTATGTAAATTTTAAACAAATTCTTATATTCTTTATGATTTTTATAAGAAAATAGTTATGAAAGGTGTATGTGTGTACATTTCCTGATTATGGTAACTATAATGATGATGATGAATTCTAGATTTTTTTCATACGAATATGTTTTATTTTGAGCATGCAAATATTCCTTTACTCATATCATGATGTAAAAACTGAAATACGTTCTGCAATTTTTAAAATTTAGTTGAAATAAATATACGGTAGCGCTTCATATTATGTTGCAGATGTTTTTAAAGGAAATTAAGTTTCAACTTGGATGAAAATGTAACAGTATGTGTTATATCCCTTACGACCGGTAACAAAATGATAATGAAACTTTAGGTTCGAAACTAATTTAACAATCAAGGAAAGTGCAGTAAAACGGGGAAAATGCACAGATCAGACCTTCCATGCATTGGCTGTCATGAAGACGTCACCTATGCTGATGGCACTCTTTTACACCAGACACCTTTTGACACCGGCGTGTGGCGATCTTGTTTCCTCCTCTGCTTTTAAATAAAAAGGTAATTTGGAAAGAGAAAGAAGATTATAAAGTATGACTGGAGAAAAAGCATGGCTCGCCTTTTTTAAAAACTCTTTTTTTATCTTGGTATTTCAGTTTGTTGATGCATGAATAGCAAAACTTAACGGGTGACGACCGAGAGGTCCTTCAAGTTATCTCACCGTGGCTCAATAGCTTGTAACCATCGCAAGAGGGCGCTGTGTAGAAATCATGGCGCTGAACTCCAAGCGAAATGAGTGGCATTTGCTCCGATATGCGCGATTTATTCACTCAAATGATGCCGTCCAGAGTGCCGAAAAAGATAAGGAAAATGCTTCGACACCAGCAGGAACGTGGAAGGTGACTTTAATGTGCTAACCTTGAGGAGTTACAACTGCACTTATCCTGTGTGTCCAAACTCTCTGAGTTTTTACTTGAAGTTGAAACTTTTTTAGTAGGGCCTACTCATTCAACTTCTGTATCGCTGCGCGCATTGTATTGCCATTGGCTGACCACGAAGGTCAGAAAATAACTTGCATTGAAATCATGACAAAAGAAGCGTCTGCGCTTACGATTGCATCCTGACTCCACTTCAGTGGTCGTGCATAAAGTCTATAGAGAGTCAAGAATTTTTAAAAGTACATGTATTTCCTAACAAAATTGGAAATACATGTACTTTTATGACCCTTTCAAGTTTCAGCATTTATGATTCACCGTTATGTTTATCGAGATGATAGGGGCCTATTCCGATGAAAAAAAGTGGAGGCAGGATGCAACACTCTTTCATAGAGAGGTAGACAATGAAGCACTGCTAGGCCTAAAGGTTAAAAAGTGATTCTGTTCTTTTGAAATTCCTCTTTGCCAAGCTGTTAGTAAGAAAATACTTAATAGGACCTGAAAGTCGTTTTTTATCATTGCATTGAATGTAGCATTTTTCCTGGTCTGATGCTGAACCACTAATGCTGTCCATTCAAGATTCCAGCCAGCTTCTAATCACCAGAGGCAAGCTAATCCTTGTAAGAAAATACCAAATGTTCTTACTGTCATAAATACTTTCTGCTAGCTTCATCAAAAGTTTTTGAGAAAGAAATCCAGGTTTGAGTTTCAGCTAAATAATGTGAACCTTGTCATGCTATTCTTGGCTGCATTTTTAGGTCAAGGACCTCCTAGCTGCTGGATGGAAACAAAGTTTTATCTTTAAATCTTTCAGGAGAGTCACTTTCTCTTTGATGCTGAGCACTACATAAAGGGGGCGTTCAAAGGAGATTGTGTGTTATTCATCCAGAAAATTAAGGTTTGACTAAGAATACTTTCTGGCCATTAATTTTCCATTTTCCAACTGGGATATAATATGAAATGGTCTCATTTGTGAAATAGAAAAGTCATTGCCTCCACAGTGTTAGGAAAGAATTCCACATAGAGAAGCTGCTTGACACCCTGTCCTCAAGCACCATGAGACTGGTCTGGAAAAGTGTTTCTAAGTGAATACCTCAATATTTTTACCGCACAATTTGAATTTTATTGCTTTCAGGTAGCTAAAAGGTCACTGCAGGGCAATATCAGTGGTGTCTGTATATGGAATTCTCTCCCCGGTCTTATTGCACAGTACTAGTTTGCTGTAAATTTGTTCTTATCTACTGGATCAACTGATAACCTAAAGGTGTATAAAGTGACTTCATTTCATCTGCAAGACAGAGGAGGAAGGCAGAGGAGTTGCTAGTGTGCCGGGTATCTTTATTCTTCTTTTCATGGGTAGAACGAATGCAGGAAGTTCCGTGTCAAGTTTATGCAAGGTCCATTTCCGTCGACTCTGAAGGCTTGCGCAGACTGCATCGCTACTCTGCAGGCATTCTTCCACATTCAAGAGGAAGGAGCTGGAACTTCACAAGTAGGCAGGCTACTTTACCATTGTCCAAACAATCTCTTTGGACATTAGCTTTCATCTTCTAGTCTTAGGACGTTAGGATGCCATTGATGTATGGGTCAAACCTTCACTGATGCAGTGAAGTGATTCCAAGATGCTGAAGTTGGCAATTACACTTCCAGAGAAGGGACAGCAGGCTGTTTTGTCAATAGAAGGTTGGCAGAGAGTTCCAGAAATTTGCAAGGTCATTGTCAAAACGACTGTAATAAAATAACATCTATAATTTTTCAAGGGAGCTGAAGAAATGGATGGTGTGGATAGAATTCAAGATGCCTGTCTGTGTCTTTGTAGACTTGTTAACATATGCTCCTTTTCTCATTTCAAATTCGTCAGAATCCTGCTGAGAACAGAATGACTCTGGAAGGAGAGGTTTCCATGGGAACTGTTGCTAAGGTAAAACCATGTCCACACTGAACTCTTTTCCCAACTCTTTTACTGAGATGATGGTAAAGTGAAAAATGGTGAAATTTTACCTCCATTCACGCTTTTTTATTCTTCAACGGGCAAACGTTACCAAGACTGTGGGACAAGTACCCGAGCTGTTGGTCACTCGACTCATGAGGTCATTATATGTGAACTTTCTGCATTTGTTTTCATCCTTAGACACAACGTTGCCCTAAATGATGCACCAATCAATTCAACTTCCATTTGCGCCAATAATTCCCGCCATGATTGACACAAAAAGAATAATAACGTTCTGGAAATACTGGCTTTATGCCACACTGTCGTGAAACGTGCTTGCATGATTTCTCAGTGTTCAGTATTCTGTAGCACTTGGATGGGATGCACACTCTACTGAGCTGACTTGCACTGTCCGCACTAGACTTTTCGTTCCAGGGAAAGATACCTGGTAAAAGTTACTGGACTTAAAACGGCAAAAGTACCCATCGTCGTGGTAAAGATTTACCCCAAAAAAGTCAAGTGCAGACAGGGCTTACGCTTTGAATGCCCGTTGAAGATCTCAATAAAGAGACTATAGCCTACCTAATCTCATACATTGATGTGATTCTCAACTTATAACACAGGTTGTACTAGGCAACACAACCTTGGACCTCCCTCTGGCCTATCACCATCACCAATCGTCATGGCAACCTGAGCAGGTTGCCGGGGCATTACGGCTCTGCCTTGCAGATCCAACATTTCCAGCGTTTGTGGAGGCCGTGGAGGATGAACTGAAGAAATTGAACAGAGAAAAATGACACTTCACTATCAGAGGTGAGTTCCTCTACTGAATGTCAAACCCAAGCAAAATTACCCGTTCAAAAAGAGTCTAATTACCTGAAAAAAAAATTTAGAGAAAACAATTTCCAGGGCTAACTTTCAAAATTGATACCAGTGGCATAGCCTGCTTCTAGCCGGAGATACATGTTGAAGTGTCAACAATATTGCAGTCAAGTTTTCATAAGTCTATCACTTTGGCAGTTATCTAGACCAAATTTAATCAGTGATTTTTGTTGACATCTGGTCTCTTTCCCTTGATGCAGAAAATATATATGCTGGGTACTGGGCAAAAATCAATCCGTGTTTCGCTGATGGTTGCTAATCAGACTCAGTCTTAGCCCCAAATCATTCCAATCAGTTGACAAGAACCATCACTCAATCTAGGGCCAAACTTCTGATTTGAAAGTTGACTTGAATTACTTGACACAGGATGGACCGTTTCTTCATCCAACTTGCATTTTGGGCCTGTTATTCCACGAGAAGCAACAAGACATTGTGTTTGCCTTTTGGAATTCCCAAAGTCTCCTCATGTATTGTCTGAAACATGGGGTTGGTTTCCTATTTCTCTGGTTATTTTCAGAACTGAACAAACCCACAAGACGGTGTCACATGGTGCAACTTTGGTTCACTACCAAACCACTATCTGCACACAAATTGTATTGCATTTTTAAGATTGAGATGACAAGCTAGACAACAGGTGGGGCAGGTTGTTGCCGGACTCAGCTCTCCCACTGAGTATATCTTTGTTTCCTTCCAAGAATCAAGCCAAGACATGTTCTAAAAATATAGTCCAGTAAATCAGTTCTCATATTTTGACTACTAGAATACTTGTCTCTCTGATGGTTGCAAGTTCAACAATATATACACCTCATGCAAATAAAAGCACAAAGCGAATCTGACACCATAAAACTTCACACCAAAAATACAAACTACAGGAATGCACTTGATTTCTTTTCTTTGGTTTAACCTTTTATTTGATATTTTGACTTTAAAAAGCCACTTTTATGTACATGTTTCCTTTTTGTTGTACAACTTATACAAATTTATTTACAATAGTTCCTTTTAGAGTATGACTTTATACTTTGCTGTGACATGAACACTTCAAGAGTTTTCAGTTTACAATGATGAACCTAACACTAACTTTAAAAACCCTTCTTAGTTGATGAACGAGAAAATTATAGTTAATCTTATCAACTTTAAAAAAAGCCATTTCCAAACTAAAATAAACGTTTTCTTGCCACTACTGTCCTACTGAAATTTATGTCAAAAGCTAGTTTAATACTTTGCCACAAAATACCAAGTGGTTATGCATTGTCTACAACTTGGAATTGAAATCAAGAGAGAAAATAATTTCAACATCAGAAAATAATTTCAACATCAGCCCAATGACCTCAAAATGTTGTACAGAGATATATTGTTTCTATTGCCAAAGATTGTCTGAAATCAAACTTATTGATGCCTGCAGTTGGTACAACAAAAAGCAGTTTCTCCTCCAAGTCTGAAAATGCAAAAGAAATCTTCTACAAAGTCACAGGCAATCTGATATTTGGCACCAGCATAGTTCTGATAAAAATCCCTGATTTCTGAAGATTTCCTAATTTACATGCTATTCATAAGCAGAGCTTCTTACTGTGCAAAACAGGCAGCAGAATATCTGGGGGTTTTTTGACAAAAGCAGTGAAAACCATGTGGCGAGCTTCTAAACTTAGAACACACAAATTTCCAGATATTTTAAATATCAAAATTATCAAGTGTAATTTTAAGCTGTTTACTTTTAGGACACATTGTTTCGAGTGTTGTGGCTTTCCCCTTAACTAAATAAAGGCACTTACCAATAAGTAAATACCAATTAGTAAAGAAAATGGAGAGAGTTCAGGTAGAACAACTTAGACACTTATGACAAATTATTTATTGTAAGAGTTGTTTTGGGGTTGGCATATCAGCAATGAAATCAATCATTCTTTTTTGGCGAGAAGAATCGTTTATTGGGAACTATGAAGCCAGAACAGTCTTATTCTGTACATACTGGGAAAGGCTCATTTTAAGAAATCTTAAAATACATGAAACTGTCTACCGTTGAGAAATTGTTCAAAAATTAAATCACATTTTGATAGAAAAGGTTGTGATACTGTGAAAAGTTCCATCAGATAAAGCACACTCACAGTGGAAGAATGCATGTACAGTTCGTCTCCTTGGGACTCGCACACAGAAACTGTTCAGAGAAAATCTTTCCACATCCTTTTTTTGCCCACTTGATTTTAACTGGAAGATTTGATATGAAAATTTGATAGTAAAAAAGACATTGCCTGAGATGTCTGTACATGTACACGTAAGGTAGTGCACATCCGCAGCTGTCCAAGTGTACCTGAGAAATTATTGACAAGAAAACCTTGCTGTTCAGAGAAAAAAAATTCACCCCAATCTGAGTAAAAATTGTTGACACCTTTCATGTCACTTGCCGACAATGTGCCTTTAAGGTTGTAAAGCATCTATAAAGCTACTTTGATAAAAACTAATTATCACTCCTGCTGTATGTTTACATGTCTACCTTTCATTTTGAACTTCATCTAAACAAGTAACGCTACACATATCCCACTCTCATAGTTTCAGTTTTAAGGACAAACTTGTACACAACTTTCATGACAACACTTTACTCAGGTAATTGAATGTAAAGACTAGATGTTTGAAAATTGATACATTTCTGAGGGGACAGGAATCACAGTGATCCAATGAATGTTCTGCTACGATTATCAATACTTTTTTCTCTTCTTGATCTTAAGAGAATGAAATCTCTCACAAAAATAAACAAGGACAACATGTTCATAAATTCACAAAATAGTGGAGTGGCCACCATGCACTGACTATTGACACCAGATGATTGCCTCCAAACACTGGCTACCAACACCAGATCAAGGTCAGTAAACCAGCCACCAAACCCAAGATAAAGGCCATCCAACAACTGGCCATCCAATTGAACGAAGGCCATTAAAAGATCAGAGGCCAGGAATGCCTTCAAGTTGAGCAAGTACCAACTTCATGAATGTTTAGTGATCAGATGGGCCACACTGACCAAAGGCCACTAAATGCAAGTGGCCAAAAGAGGCTGAGGAGCAGTCTTAAGAAAGTGGCCTTCGGAAATCGCCACCAGTGACTGGCTGTGCTGATCTCTAATAGGTCTGACCGCCAAATGTGGGAAGTGTCTAACAAACGTAAAACCATGCATTAATTCAATTAATTTCTATCAACCAACCTTGGCACTTTTATGTTTAGAGTTTGCATTTCAGAAAAACAAAGAAAACTAAATTTAAATGAAATGGATGTAAAAGAAGATTAACATCATACGGTAGGATTATCTTTAGCTTTTACGTTTTAATGCACTTCTGTAACATTTCAAATACTCCATTATTATAAAGACTCTTCACCTACATGTTAAAAAGTGATTACATATATTTTCTTACAATTGACCAAAATATGGCGCAACTCATTGAATCTTTCTTCTTGTGAATACCATTAACATTCTCTAAGCATAGCTCTAAGACAGTTCTTCTTGGGGAGGGTCTTCTGGTCAAATGCCTTCCCCAGTATTTAAAGAAGAGATTTCTTCCTGATGAAGCCAAGCTACCAAATTACAGTTCACAATTTCTCAACAATTCTGTAGCCTTTTCCATCCACATTCAAAAAGTTTTCAGCTTCCCCCACCCGAAAAAAGCGTTTCCAAAAAGAAAACAAAAACCCTTACAGGTGACCACCTCAACCTTCAAATTGAGCATGTCAGGTTCCCCAATAGTTACTCCATAACTGCACCTGTTCAGCACATACCAAATCTGCTTTTTTTTCAAACCGCAATTAAAGACATTTCAATAAAAGAACAACATCTGCACATACAATGCACCAGTTGCAGTTCTCTCATCCCGGACGTCATCCATTGATTTGTTTTCAACTGTCAAGACAAATTACAACAACCGACACATGCGATGAGACGTCATAATATTTGTGCATAGGAAAGTGACAAAACAAAAGTGGATTACCTTAATACGTTTCATGCAAAGGAGCCTACATGGCACTGGCAAAGAGATTCCAATCTCAGAACTCAGCCCTTCATGTTGTGCAAAGTGTCAGAAATAGACAGAAATGTTTTCCTTTTTTGCTCAAATGAGTCTTGACGTATAATTTCATTGCTCAAATGAGTCTTGACGCATACTTTCATTGCTCAAATGAGTCTTGACGTATAATTTCATTGCTCAAATGAGTCTTGACGCATATTTTCATTGCTCAAACGAGTCTTGACACATAATTTCATTGCTCAAACGAGTCTTGACACATAATTTCATTGCTCAAACGAGTCTTGACGTATAATTTCATTGTACTGCTGTTATCAAATCATGTTTAGGAATTGGGTTTGCCAACATTTATCTCAATGTGTAATTCAAATGTCCAAATAGGGACAGCAAGCTAAGACCACTGTGTCACATTTGCTAACTGAGCAAGCCCACGCAAGGCCGACAAGATGGTAATAACCAACCTGTGGTGTGCACGTTAACTGCCTTGGACAAATGGCACACTAATACTCAGTAAGACAATGTTCTCTCTGCTTGACCAGATTTATTCACCAAATGCACCTAAATAAAAATCTAGGACCTGTGAGCAAAAATTCTCATCAAGAGAAATGTTTCCAACCCAACTTCCTGCTTAGAGTGCTCTCTCCTCACACTGTGTCATCAAACTTTGTCAAATTCAGATACATGTAGATCCTGTTTTTTTTTAGCATGCAGAATCATATCGACCAATGACAGCTATTAATCAAGGATGCATGCAGGACCTCAACAAGTGTCTCAAGGTCTTACAGTCACCATTTCTTAAACTGACACTCCCTGTTGCTGCAAGTCACATGTCTGGTCATTGTGTTTCATGGCCGATCATCTTTAGCTGGTGAATCGAACGCAGGCTTTCTTCCATCGGCACTGAGTGCACCACAGGTCCTTACGCTCCATTCCGTATACTTTCCGGCACTTCTTGCCTTCCCGGGTTTTATGGTGCCCCAAAGAGGAGGCGGAGCCAGAGCCTGTGGAGGAGGGGGCAAAGTGAAGGTGGGTCTTTGGGGAGGCGGCCTGGTGGAGCTGCTGTCGCTGCTGGACGATGCTGGTTTTGGTTCGGATGGGCGATGAATACTGCAGAAGAGTGAATACAATTGAAGAAAACATAACTTCCTGGACTTGAGAACTCATCTGGCTTGTCTGACGAGAAAACCAACTCTAATTGAAGACTTTGGGACACTGGTAGCCGCAGACATACCATCATTTTTACAATATTGTGCATGCTCAGAACTATGCAAGCACACTCAGAACTGCGCGTGCTCAGGACCGATAAAAAGGAACAGATTCTATCCCATTCCCTGCTTTGTGAAAAATAATTCTAGCAATAAATTCTTTAGAGAATAAATATTGTCCACAAATCACATTGTAAAGCTCACAGAGCTAGTAGGTACTTACCTCTACAATTACTGGTTTCACCCCCTGGAAAGCCACTAACTTTTGTGGCCACATGGTTGCAATCAAGTTGTCATGTTTGAGCAACGTTTTACTTATTGGCTGCTAGAAATAACTGAAAAGCTGCCCTGCTCAGAAACATGAACTTGTGCTTGTTTGCAAAGTTTGGAGTATTTAAGTACGTGCAACTTCTCATGTTTTTCTTTTGGGCTTACGTTTTAGGGTTGAGTAATGTGTTATCTAATTTGATCCTCCCCAAGACACATTTGGTATGTTCCAGAGTCTTGTGAATCCCTTTCTGACTCTTACCTGTCCATTTGTCTGGAAGAGGGTGGCACTCGCAGGATGGGTCGTCTGCCAGGTGAAGGTGGTTTGCTGTGGGACCTGACCGTGTGGTGCAACCTGGAAAAAAACAGGAGGAAACATCTTTTAGCACTTAAACAAATTCTTCCCAGGCACATTTTTTAAAGCGGCTCATAAAGTTTTCAACAGCAACCTGACAAGTAAAATAACCTCTCTAATGCGGACTCTACAAGAATGAGTGAAATTTTAGGAAGCTATAAATGAAAAAATTGTGCACATTCTGCTGAAAACTGGCCGCGTGCATTCTACACAAAATTGATTATGCACATTCTACTGGAAATTGATTATGCACATTCTACTGGAAATTGATTATGTGCATTCTACTAAAACTTGACACTCTCTCTCACCATGGTCATGCTATTCTCGGGCACAGACTCCATCTGGGCCATCACTCTATCTAGGCACATCATATTGTTGCCGTTATTGTCTCGAAGGTCTTCACGAGTGTGTCTCACCATGTCGGTTGGACCAGGAGCTGGGGGTGGGGAGGAGGTGTTCATGTCAGCAAACATGTCCGACATGCTGTCTACCGTGGTCTCCACCTCTGTATAGTAAAACTCTTCTTCATGGTCGCTACAGCTGCTGTTGGTGTCTTTCGTCCTGTGGACGAAGAGAAAAACAATCAGTAATTGATCCTCCACATGTCAAGATTGAATAAGATCTTGAAAAGATGTTGTCCCGTTTGACATGATGTGCAAAATATAATTGATCTAGATCAAAATGAAGTATACTTGCTGGTCCTGCATTTGATATCTCAGGGCAGCTTACTAGTAGCCAGCTGAGGGTACTCCGTATTTTTTCAGAGTTCTGTGTAACACAACTTGCATACTTCATTATAGTGGAACGTCGCTATACCGAGCACCGCTATATTGAACATTCGGCTGTACCAAATGTCATCCTTGGCTCCCAATATTTTGTGCACAAAACCTATCAAACATTATGCAGTTGAAAATCAACCAAGATTCGCCACAGCAAGCATCAAAGATCGATCCTGAGCAGTAGCTTCACGACTTTTAGGATAAACTACATATCAAGTTTGTGACTCAAGATTTAATAAAAACAAAAATAATTAACAGATACATTTCTAAAAACCTCAAACGCGAATTCAGCAAATCATAGTATCACAAGAGGGTGCACTTCAGTTAGACAAGAGAGGGCACTATTCAACATGGCAACAGGACATTCAGCTGTTAATTTCGCTATTGCAACGACCGATGTAGCGAAACATTTAGAGTGGACCCCATCATGTTCGTTATAGCAGCGTTCCACTGTCATAAGTGTGCTTGAAAACCTGAGGTTGATAACATGATTCAGAACCCAAACAGAATTGCATCATATTCCAAATCCAGTTAGGACGCAGCCAATGAGCCAACTGTCCATCTTAGAACTAGCCTTAGATGCACAGTTGGACAGACCTTAAGATATATGTAACTATAAAATGTGTGCTTATTGAATCTATTGTCTACTGTTCAAATGTTGATATTGTTGATAGTGTTGGGTGTCAGTGTTTAACATCCAAACAGTCCACCCCTTAAGAATCATTGGCGCTGTGGACCAGCTACAGGTACCTCAATAACATCCTGGCAACAACCTTATACTTCAACCCTGAAAATCAGCAATTTCTTCAGCCAATTATTTCTGCATTGCCAGTAGTCTATAAATGTTAAACTATCTCATGATACTATCATTTCAGGCTGCATTATCCTCTGAAATATTGCTGTTTGCTCTAATTCAAGTGTTTACGTCTGTCTGGCCACTGCATACAAAGTCCAAGTTACATGTGTGCTTATCAATTGTGTGCATTTTCTTGTATTGCTTGTTTGAACTTAAATCTTCAGTTGACTGGCCTTTTTCTTTTCATGGGGGGGAAAGGTGGTTATGGTTGAGGTCATTAACTTTCTAGAAGTCCCGACATCAAAGGAAGGCCTAGCACGTATGACCCAATTGACAGTGTCTCAACAAAACAGAAAGGTACCCTGATCTAAGTTTTCATTCACAGATTCCTTTACAAAAGAGGAGTCAAATTATAACCCTACTTAAATTAATCAAGCCATAACCACCAGTTATTCACTGTTTTGGTTCAGGTTCTTTCAGTAACAATTTCAACAGCTCAAAAGAAAACTAATCCAAGAAGCTCCCACTTCATAACCAGACAACTAGGAACGGAAGCAATTAACCACACATCTAATCAGTCAACAATCAAGCAACCACTGCATTCATCATGCCATTTAGCCAACCAGCCAGCAATACAACTAACCTTCTAGCAGCTGAGATTGATTAACAAGCCAACCAGAGACAAATTCCACCACGAACACAGGGTCCAAAATGTGGTACCTGCCAATGCGTCAACACCTTTCTGGACAAATAACTATCTCGCCTCCCCATTATGTTCACACACTGGTCCAAACATACAACAATCCTATGGGAACCTTAGCATCTGGAATTCCTAGCCTCCAGATCGTATCTATTGACTTTCCCTGGCCCTGGGCTTTGGAGGGGCACTTAGGAAGACTCTCCCCCCATCAAAATATTTGCCAACTCTCTGGAGTGTATCTCATTTTACCAAGAATTCATCTCATCTGATGGCTATATGCCACTATCATAAGAGCCTCCTGGCTTTTAGGCCTGAAAATATGCCCTGAATGCCTGCCAGTTCTGATCTACCAGTACACTTTGTCTGTAATTCATTACTTTTTCAAGAGTGTCCACTCACAGATTTTTTTTATTAAACTTGCAGCTCATTAATTATATTTTCTCTCATCAACTTCATGGGCAGGTATATGAACTAAAGTTGTCTTTGGGTAAATCTTTGTTCTTAGATCTCAAAACACGCACGTATCGTGGGATTTAGTGCAGTGGTAACAGGAAATGAACCTGGAGAGTTTGTTCGGAATCCTTACATGTGGTTTTGGTAACAAAACAGCCATCCCACTGTCATGAGTAGGATTCATGACGAGATAGAATTCAGGGCCGTTTTCCAATACTCCACTTGGGCTCCGTCTCAGGCTTCAACTGTTTTTTTTACTTCCTGACGTTGAGGTTGTAAGCGCAATAGTAAGTCTGATGGTACCACAAAACATCAAGTAAGATGCAAAAGAGCCGAACATTACAGTACTTCAATTTACGTTAAATGCTTCAAGCCCACAATCGAGGATTGGTTTCCTACATGAAGCCTGAAATGGAGACGAAGTTAAATATTGGAAAACAGCCCAGGCTTGATATAGTCCTTTGGGTTATGTTTAGTGCTAGGCTTGATACAGTCCTTTTGGGTTATGTTTAGTGCTAGGCTTGATATAGTCCTTTTGGGTTATGTTTAGTGCTAGGCTTGATACAGTCCTTTTGGGTTATGTTTAGTGCTATGCACAATCAGTTTTGTTATGACGAAAAGGCATGGTAGCTGATGGTTGGACAAGTCAACCATTTCAAACTGCGGCTGTCAGAAACAGACTTCGAGGGCTATGGCTATGTCTACTATCACCATGTCCCTGTGCATGCCCAACAGGTGAATACATAGTCCCAGCCCTAGGTAACAGATTTGGATGTATTCTTGTCTATCAAGTGTTAATAGGCGGCATCACTGGTCATCAACAGAAATGCATGTTTCAGTGTGCAGATGGGAACCAAGACTACGAAGGTTCATGTTGATATGGGGACCACAGCTGGACTGAGTTATTCACATGGAAAGCTGCATCCAAAATTTCTGGCAGTGGCTGACATTACACACGTTTCTATGGAAAGTGGCTATAGCCACTAGCCAGTTCCCTTCCATAGACATAAGTGTTTCTGCTGGCCAGGGCACAGCCGTAAGTTTTCAATGCAGCCCAATATAACATGTAGCTTCCAAGTGAAAAACTGCACGTCTCCAACCAGCCACTGGTTATTTAGGCAATTGCTTTTGACTTGCTCTTTGTAAAGACGTCAGTTACAAGATCCTCTTGGGGCCTCTATGGGTGAGCTCCACCTTACCTGAGATGTTGGCTGCGGATGTGTTTCTCAATACCTTGCACTCTGCTTAGCTTTTTGCCACACCCTGGCCATGTGCACTTGTACATTGTCCTGGTTGGAGCGACCTGAACAACAATGCAGAAAAATAATAGACAATGTGGTCAGACGTTTACCAAGTCTACAGGACTGAAAATCTGTGGTGGTTTGACCCTAACTTGATTTCCAAAAAAACTGAACTAAAGCTGAACATACACACCTGCCTCTAGAAACCACCAGATTGTGGCTTCATGCATTTCCAATAGACTTTAATTATATCTAGCCATAGTCCATTATCTCTGAGGTGGCCAGGTTGTATGTAAAGCTGTCTCCTGAAAGCCATTAAAATGTGAACTTGCATCACACAAATCCTTAGGACATAAAACACTTTTTTTTTTAGAATATCTAAATTGGGCCTTGAAATCTTGATTCCAATATAAATACCATGAAACATGGAAAAAGCTATTCCCGGCTTCAGGGGGTGTCCATTGTAAGGGCATGTTGTGGACATTAATAACCGTCTTCAGAACACCAAAATGCCCAATTTGTACTCCTGACTGAGACCAAACCTCAATGGAGTTCCATGAAATTAGACCTCACAAGAGCAGAAATACCATGAATCATTTTATCTCGTCATGTATTCTGACAAACTTAACCAGCGCCAGTTATGTTTTTTACAGCATGCCAGATAACCCTCATGCTTATACAAACATGGGTCAAATGAGTAATATTCATTTGTTCAGACTTTCTCATTTTACCTGCCCTTATTTTACACCAGCACTAATGGCCTTGTGGACGTTTCTTAATGGCTCGGCTTTATTTCACTACCAAAGCTTGAAACATGGTTTGCACCTCGCACCATGAAAAGATAATGACGTGATCAGAGAAACAGCACAAGAGCAAGCAATGAAGTACTCTTCAGGGCCTGCATTTCGGTATCAAAGAACCCTGGGAATTTATTCTACATGAGCAGAGCACTATGATTGATGCAGCTGCTTAACACAAACTCCCTTGGGGACCTTTCATCCCTTGGAATAATCCCTGCTGGCCCAAAAGATTTAAAGGGGCACTCCAGTTATTGAGGCTTCATTCTCAGAAGTGTGAAATTGCTGTTTTCCCAGCTGAAAATAACTCCCAGTCCCTATCAGAATAACAGCATTATATTTGGTTCCGAGATTCTCCATATTACTACTGGTGATCTTGGTCCTATTGTCATTCGTGACTTTGAGACGGGAAAGCCACCTTAATTTTTTTCAATGTATCAGTTAAGTTGGATTTGTACTTGAGGGAAGACTATGACAATAATTCAACAGCTTCATCTGCTTGGTAAAGACATCCTGGGATAATGAATTAATGGCATGTACATGTGGTGTGGGGTGGCAACCTTTTCAATGTAACCAGGTTTACTTTGTCTACAGTAAGCAGGGAGTGCATTGAATTGTGCAATACATTGAGGGGGTATTGGCATTACACCTCATATATTATTGATAATAGTACGCAAACATCTACTCCGCGCAGTATTGCGTTTAATATCGAGCTATGAGCGCTCCCCAGGTTTGCATTTTTTGTGCGAAGACTAAATCGACTTCAGTTTCCCCGCATATGCTCAAGAATTAGATAGATTTAAAAAAATTAACAGCAATCTAGGGGGCCTACCTCAATCATTAATAAAACATTTTACAAATGATAGCACTGTACTTTGAAACTAATCAGATGTGCCATATGAATCATGCATAATACATTAACTGTAGCCACTTTGTTGATAGTCAGCTTTGTAAGTGTGGAAAACGTCCAGCTGTCCTCAACACATTCAGCAACTAAATTATGCATCTCATCAACTATTACATAATACCGTGAATACCGTGTATTACATTACAAAGCATAAAATAAATCAATTGTCCCTCCAAGTATATCTTTGAAATTGCTGCCATTAAAACTTATTGCAACTAATTAGTGTTGGATGCGAATATATATCACGATCATTGAAGGTAACTGTTGTTTTGAAATAAAGCCTACCACTGCCAGGTTCCATCCATTAAGACAGTAATTTCTTTTTTCATTGCGTGTTCTACAATGATGGTATCTCATGGATTTCAATTATGTAAATTACATCTGCTTGGCGAGTCATGCAAGCGTTGACAACATATTACCATGGCAACTAAAAAATAACACATTCTGCTGCATCAGAAACTCCACTTATTAAAGGGAATCACATTATAAGTGTAGATGACGCCCATACAAGTACACTCGTGGGTGTAATAAATTGTACAAGATGGTGGGAACTTGAACTACAAGCTGCTAGTAATGGAAGATATTAACAGGGTTACTGGCTTGACTAAGGTGTAAGTTGGTTTGGGTTTATTCACATCATTCAAAAAATTGAGAAACTAATTCCCTGTTGATCATGAATCTTAATGTTTTAATTCAAATCAAATTTCAGCAACTTATCAGCAAATGACAGATGAGTCTATCAGTGTCATATAAATATCCAATCAAGTGATGTACAGATAGTTAGGCAGGGCGTAAGGCGTCGTGATTATAGATTTGACTGCCTCTGGGTTCATCTATATTTTGTCTCCATTTCAAAAGCCCAGGGACTTTAATCAGATATTACAATACACCCTGTAAATGCAACAGTCAGACCTTATTGCCTAATCAAGGTTTCAAGTTTTCAACCTCCTGACCACAACCCCCTACCTCTTTCCTATTTACAATCCAATTACAACAAGAGCATCATAATTTCCTTTAGACAGTCCTTGTCAGCCGGGTCCCCGATTTCACAGAAATTCCCTTTTTTTCATGCCGCCGTAATTGCTTCACCATAATGGATTGCTTTCTTGATTGCGTTGGAGTTTGCTGGTGTATTCTCAGTACTTCTGTAATGTATAAACCACTGGTCAAGCACCAAGCCCTTTAATTATCATCACCAATCATATCAAGGACAAACCTCTCAAAATACACATTACATAACTAGCTTTTTGCCCCAAGTGACATCTTATCTTTTATTTTCAGAGTAATTACCTCTGCAGAATACTGAGGTTAATGTAAATTATTCATTGCTACTGGTAAATATTAAAGTTTAAACCGTAACAAGGATAGACATGTTCTTTTCTTTCAGAAATTACCTTCCCATCCCCTGTAGTGTAATATGCAAAAAAAATCAAATCAACCAATCAACCTCCGCCCTTGTCAATTCTACTCGCATATAAGTATGAAAAACCAAGTTGAGTACTGGTGGCCTTGGGATTAGTTTTGTTTGAGTAATTGGTCACCATGCCAGGAGGCACAGACGCTGTGATCTAACTACTTTGGACACACAACCCCATAAAAGCAATCCTCAAATAGCCTTGGTTTCAACTTTAATTATTAAATTTTTACGAACAAGAAGATTGTATATTTTTGTTTTTGCCATCAAATTGGATTAATTGATCGAGAAAATTGCCGTCTAGACTACAAGGTCAACTTAAAGTATTTGGAATTTGAGTTGGCAGCAGATGGTTTAGCTTTTTCACTGGACTGCTCTTGAAGCCAAGTTTTTTTATATGTTACATGAAATGTATTGAGGCTATCTTCTATGCTTTATGATAATTAGGTGGACAGGAATTAAAAGTGGAACCAGAGCTACATTCAGCAATTCCTATAGAACAGTAATAATCCCTACATGCCATTGACTTGATTACCTATTTACCTCACTATCCGTTCAACCTCCAACCCTGTCTGGTGTGAGTAAAGTACTGACCGAGTACAGATATCTTATGCACAATAAAAGATGGGCAACTCCCAACCCACCCCCCTCAAAAAAACAAATCAAGATCAAGATCTTGAAGGACAAGGTGCAGGGTTGCTCCACAAGTAAATCTGAGCAAAAATAAGTTGCCTTCAGACGTTTCTGTGAACTACTCAACATGAGGCACTGGTGTTGGTGTTCCTTCATTTTGTGTCTGGATTAAAGATCGGCAGCATAATTAGGGTCCCGTTCTGGAGGTGGAGGCAACAGAGGGGGGTCAGTTGAGACAAACCTTGATCTCTGTTTAGTCTGTTGTCTTCTCTAAAAAATTCTGTGAGTGAGGGAATCGGGCAGATGCATGGAGGGGGGGGGTGGGGGTAGTTGTGTGCCTCTCTTTCAGGGAATGTCACTGCACAAAGATTCTAACAACATTAGCGGCTGGCTCTGATCTCCAGCTTTCTGGCAGAGCGACCAGAGCAGCATAGACGCTTGGTGCTTTCATTATCGCCTCCTTCACTGTATACATCAAGAGCCTTCATTCAACAGTTCCCAGCTCTTTACAGACCTATGACTTAATCTCACATCTCCCTTGTTTGCTGGGTTACTTCAAGTGCGTGGCCTACGTGCAGATTTTGTATGCAGATTCATCCGTCAGTATTTGCCAATGAATATAATATTCTTGGACTCCCGAAATCTGAAACTTTTTTCTTTTTTTTCTGTCAATCAGTGCAGCGCTGATGCTGTGTCTCATCTAAGCAACCATGAGTCAGCTCTGTTCTCCAGGAGATTCTCGGAATCATTACCTCATTGCCCTCCCGGGGCAAGTTAGGTCCCCTCCCAACCTAACCCTTCCTTCAGCGTGGAAAATTAAGGGGTACTTCCTTAGTTTGTGATTCCGATACCGAATGCGGTTTATCCTAGCATAGCTCAATGATCCTAGCTTCTGCGGTTGAACTAGCATAATGGAAAATTACAGCACAACTTTTGATCCAGTTCATGAAGGGTTTACAGAAACTCTCATAGTATGGTTTTTAAGGACATCACCTTTCAACAGAGAGGCCTTAAACTGTAGCATTCAGATTGGATTTGAACACAGTGTTTATCAATCTGTTCATTTCACCTGCTCGGATCTGAGCTTTTACACAGAGAAGAATCCACAGCTATTGATGACACAAACATCTCGGTAGTCATCAGCCCGTATTCAGGCCTAACTTGCTTTGCAGTCATGTCATTCCACAAAGGTCATTAAATGGTATGACAACTCTGGCATAGAGGCACACTTAGTATGCATGGATTACATAATTCAATCCACTCCCCAGCAGGGGCTTGGAGAATAACTTGCCATCATGCCATGGTCTTGCA